TGTACACACGCACACACACACACACACACACACACACACACACACGCCCCACTGGCCCAAGCTAACGGTGGAGAGACCTAGCACTTTTTGTATATATGCGTGTTTGTGTTTGTACGAGTGCGGAGGATTCGGGCTGTGACTGGCCTAAGCCACCAAACACACTCAATCTGAAGTCATCCAGCCATCAAGGCTGACAGTGTGAGTGTGTATGATGGGGGAGTTGATGAGGGGACAGGAGACCTATTACACACACTGTTAGGTGCACACAGATAGAAACATAAAACTGGGAAAAAACATCCCTTCAAGTATCATTATGTGTGTAAATACAAAAGGAGATATAGGTGTGTAAGAGGGAATCTACAAAAGTAGACAGACAAGCCCACATTTGGCCATCATACACACACAAACACACTCTCCTGGCTTAGTCTGGGGGTGATAAATCTCTCTGCTGAGAGGATCGACTGGAACATAGATGCTCACACAGTCACACACAAACTCTCTCACACACACACGTCTCTGTTTCTATGACAACTGCTGTGGGGAGGGGGGAGAAAAGAAAAATCGACAGAGGAGAGCAATCATTTCATCGCTGATCAAAATTAAAGCCTGGCTTTGAGATGGAGCTGGCAGAGAAAGAAAGATGGGCGGGAGAGAGGCAGGCAGGTGGAGGGAGGGAGGAGACGGGGAAAGTCTGTCCACGCATAAAAGTAAGCGATCATTACATCAAGCAACCTGGATGACTGGGTGAGATCTTCATGTGAAGTGCTCACAAAAAAAAACTTTCTTTATAAAAACTAGGTGCAAACTTCCAAAAAATAATATTACATCCCCTTATGCTTCATTTTGTAATTAATAATGTCTGATTTCAGTACTTGTCAGTAACACTGTAACAATCACAAATCATGATGTAGAAGTGGTGTGTATGGGGCTGAGGTAGTCTTTTTAACCTTTTCAAACCTAAAATAAAGAAGCAAAACTGTTTTAAAAAGTATTAAACAATATGTTTATCTCCTCCAATATAAACTGCATAACTAGCTGAGTTGTCTGCATAACTTCCGAGGTGAAAAGTAAGCATATCACTAATCTGTTACATTAGTTTGTGGGGTTTTCAGGTTACAAAAAGATGGCAAGCACACCCACCAGTCCTCATGTACTTTTTGATAATGCAAACAAGTATTTAAGTTAAGCAGCCAGATGGGGTTATGTTAGAAAAAACAGTCTAATCTTGTAATTTTCCTTTTCACACTTTTAATCCTAGGATTATCCAGCTGTATGCTGTAATAAGAACAATATACTTCCCCTAGACAGAGGAGTAACAATTTGTAGCCACCAAGTGCTTATTTAAGACATGTTTTAACGGGTTATCATTTAAAATGAGCCAGTTGAAACCAATAAAAACTCTGCCTTCAGTGGAACTAACGTTAGCTTAATTAATATGAACT